GTTTATGTCATGCATTTAAAGTCACGCTTAAAAGATTTTGATGCTCCTAGATGTGAATCGTACAACATAACCATTATATGAAAACATTGTGTACAACTCTATGACTTTATGTATCATTAATATTCTTTTACTTCCTCCCAAAGGTTTCACAAGCAAATGAAAAATGTAAGTATTGCCAACCTGGTAACCTTATTAACTAAATGATCTAAAACATATCGCACAATGTATTGTTAAATACTGACTGTGCTAGGATGTTAGTGCCTGTCTAAAAATAATGTTTAGCAAGCAATGTGGCGTCCTATTACTTTTGATATATTTTGTAACCTTACTGTAACCCTTTATTTTGTATTGTACACTCTTAAAAATAAAGGTGCTTCAAAAGGTTCTTCAAGCGATGCCATAGAAGAACCATTTTTGGTTCCACAAAGAACCATTCAGTCAAAGGTTCTTTAAAGAACCATCTCTTTCTTACCTTTTTATGAAACAGAAAGGTTCTTCAGATGTTAAAGGTTCTTTATGGAACCATTTAGATAAAAAGGTTCTTCTATGGCATCGTGAAGCACCTTTATTTTTAAGAGTGTATACTTACCACTGCTGTGTATTTCTCCTGCAGTGTCTAAGTTAACTGGAGGGCCACACTTTACTGGACCAGCTGCACACATGACTGCTCTGACTGAGCATAAAGGTAACAGAATGTATTAGAATCATTCATTTAGTATTCAATTAAATCATGTAATTAAGCTTTAAGCCTATAGCCATTGTGTGCTGATAATGGGTTTCTCCTTGTATTAAAACCCCCAGATAAGACTTCTGACTTCTTGAAGACAAGCAGTCTTCTTTGGGATGAAGAGCACTCGCTGTTACAGGACGTACGGCTCAGCAACGAACGGGACAAGTTGACCATTCAGTATCCCGGAATCTATTTAATCTATTCCCAGGTCACCTTCTCCAAAAATCCTCCTTCATCTTCATTAAAGCAATCCATAAGGAGCACAGTGCCCAAGAAACAGCAAGGCAAGGAGCTACTCAAGTCTTTTTGCAGTTTGAACCCAAACCCACCAAATTTGTGTACAGCTTCTCTGGCGGGGGTGTTCCATCTAGAGAAAGACCAACAGATCTATGTTACAGTAACAAACACATCCTTGGTGAACCGGGACTCCTGCAGCTTTGGATTATTCAAATTGCGGTAAAGAACACTCTGGAACTGAAGCGGTCAAGGGGGAGATGGATGATACGAGACGGTCAGGGACTGACTGGATCAAGGCACTATAATTAAACGGATAATTATACAGTCATGTTATACATCTCAAGGGAAAGACATCGCACCACCTCTTCTCCTTGACACCAAACCCCAATCCAAGCTCAGGACGAACAAGGAAGTCATGAAACCTTCTGAATATGGGAACATCCTTTCGATTATATTGTTCATTGCAAATACAACCCGATAAGAACACCATGAATGTTTTTAAACCACTAGTGTTTGGTGGTGTTTGTCTGAAATTATTTATTATTACGTGTAGTTTTCCTTTTTTTGGTTTGCTCTTCTTTTTATAATAACTATAATAATAAACTATTGACTTAATAATAAAGATATTTATTTTAGTATAAGCTTGACAATTATAATTGATGATCAATTCTTATTTATAGTACTTCCTAAGTACTTATTTAAATGTTAATATATAATATGTGGGTTATATATATATTAGTAAAAGTAACTTTGAATAAAAGAGCAAAAAAATGTTTTCCGCTCTCCCTATTATACTCCTCCTCAAGTCTTCCAGTATTTTTTATATTATTACTAATGTTTCCAAGTGGTCATGAGTTGTGTAAGTGTTTCCTAACATAGTAGATTGAGGTTGTGAGAAGTTTGGAAACTACTGTGTAGGACGAGTCGAAGAGAAAGACGCATAAGCCTACCAGTTCTGTTTTTAACTTCAATTTGATAATACGACCCTGAACTGACTACTGCCGTGCCTATTTTACAGCATTCCATCCTCCTCCATGGAAACAGTGAGTTTTAGGTGCCAAACGCGTGCTCGTTTGAGCCACGCGGATGCCTCTGCTTACAGGAAGTTGCCAGCCTACTACACTCACTCTAGCCTGTACATTTACTCCATTCACGCTTCAAAAACTAACACACCATATTGAAAATACATCATTTTAACTACCTCCGTATTTCACAACAAGGTGGAATTTCCTCGTGTGTGTAAGTTGGACGCAAATAAAATCAAACGTATAGCTTATTAACATGATGTTATTTTATTAAAAGAAATCCTTATTGAAACGAAGACAAAATAAAAACACAAGCACTAGGGAAAAAACGAAAACAAATTATATATATATATATATAGCATTTATATTGCATAGATCAGCGCTGCAAAAATAAAACTTGTGTTCTGCAGACATGGGCACTTTTAAGAGGAAACTGACGTGGACATTCTTCAACCCTCATTTATGATCTCCTGAAAGTGCTATACATTTTTTTTTTTTCCCGGACACATTCACGACATGACAAAGTGAATTTCCTTTCAGTGAGATCAGTAGCCACCTAGAGCAAATATCAGGTATACATACTAGCATAACCTACTGAACAATTCAATCTCTTCCACATTACACACACACAAACAGACCATCAGAAAGATCACATTTACCACTGCAGATGTCAAAAGTTTTAGTCCGATGGTTTAAAACTTCAGGAGTTTTCATAATAACAACAACAAAAACAATACAATCAGGGTTAACACTTTAAAATAATATTTAAGGCTGTGTGTACCACATGGCATGCAAGGTTAATTGCTGGAAAAACAAACACACACACAAAACATGAAACAGATTTACACACAGTACCACAGTAACAGCATTACATTTGTGCGCCTCAGAGCACATCTTATTGCCTAATCGGAAGAATATATTATACAGTATACTCCTTCCAAGAGAAAAACTGGCTCTTGCACAGCAATTGTAACAACAAACCAGTCGCTTATTGCATTGAATTGCCACAGCAATGCTCCGGAGGTGACCGCTGGTGGGTTTAAAAACATCAAAAATAAAACTCCCCACCCAAGTTTTGCTCATCTTTACAGCTCTTTGCATGCATTTCTTCACTGCTTAAGATCTCCGATCCACAGCAAATGAAAAGATTAGTCACGGTTATGATCGCTAATGATTAGTTGAAAGGCTTAGCACTCCAGACACAGTGTCATTTGTGTAATTGTAACTAGTTACAGTTAAAATAGCAAGAGTTCAAGAAAAAAAATAATAATTTACCACGCGTACCACGCACAACTATGGTAGAATACAAATTAGTAAAAAAAATGCACCTCCGCTGTAAATCAGATTAGACGCCATATTAAATTCAACGTGGATGAAAACAAGTCTGTGAGAGATAGATGTACTGTCTTTACCATGGCATCCACTATATAAAGCTCCTAGATTACATAATTTACTAAAACTCATAACTTTCAAAACGCAAGTTTCTTCGGAAAGATGTTTTGCCAGCTGAACAATCTGTATGTTATTAAACTACAGTACAATCCACTAAATGCACTGTACTTCTATCCATCACAGCCTCCATTTCATTCCGGAGCAAAAATTAAACATTGCTGATGAATTAAGCAGTTTGCTGAAAAAAAAAAATCAATAAAATTGGGTTCTAACCACATTTGTTTGTCACTCTAATATGAGCCTCCAAGATATGGTAAGTGAGGAACAAACATCAGTGCCTAAAGTACCGTATGTTTCTACGTACACTTGATTTTTTGAGTCCTAAAAGGGCTCCTAGTACCAAATCTGCAAACATTCTGGATTGTTTTTGGTTTAAGATACATATGAAATAGTTTCAAGCCTCTGAAAAAGGAGGATGAAGTTTCCTACTGTATTTTTGTTATCATTGAAAATGTTTCCTTTCGCCATAATATCTGATATATACATATATATACTGTATATATGATATACATACATTATATGATGTATCGTATTAGTATAGTATTATAAACCTAACTATTTCTGACAACTATATCCCTGATAGCTTTAAACTAGTGATGATTATCAGAAGCATGATTATGTAGTATTATAATGGCTGTTTTAGAAATACTGTGTTCCCATACTGATGCGAGTGACTGTCTGAATCTAAACCTACAGTCCAATGACGCATTGCAGGCATTTAATTCAAAGCCTTCAAACTAAAAGGAAAAACCAAACTCATTTCAAGATGGCAAGTAGGGCATCTCATGTCAATCAGGTGCAAACCACAAATCTCAATCTTGTTCATTTGTGACCTAAAAGCAACCGTTTTCACATTATAAAAGCAGAAATGGGTCTCAAAAGAGCAATACTTGTTGAAACAGTGGAATCCTGCAATGTTCAACCACAAGTATCGCCTCTTATTTTATATATTTTATATGAATATTTTCACTTGTGCAATAGCGGCTTGAGTCGGAATGCTGTTCATGGGCTGAATGTCATTGGATTTCTTTTGTCCATGACCAGTAACAGTCATAAAGTGAGGCAGATATTTGTTCAGTTCAAAAACAAGAGATTCCACCATCTTTTCTGTGATGATTCTTGTTGGAGTGGACTGAACCGGAACAAAAAATGGACAGGACTCTGACAATCATCTGAAGTTTTCCAAATCACAAAATACAGTTGACTTGGTCTTCTAGAACAGTTGCCGGTTTGCTCTCAGAATGTCACATCACAGGAACGTGAAGCAAACCGCACAGTGATATTCTTCAGTGTGGCGAGAAAAACACAGTCACTAAACACAGAGTTGATATTCTCATCGCATCTTGTCCAAAAAAAACATTTGATGAGAAATGGCTGAAAATCCCCAGCATGGTGACTTTCCAAAAACAATGTGCAGTGATTAATGTGATGGAAAAACACATAAAAACACATTTGTGAGGACACACAGACACGGAAACACATACATGCAGCTGGCAAAGGGAAACAGTCGAGTGTTCTTCAGTGACCTCCTTCATCCCAGGAACAGTCATTCTTTTGCTTGGCCGTGAACCGGAACAAAAAATGGACAGGACTCTGACAATCATCTGAAGTTTTCCAAATCTTTTCCAAATACAGTTGACTTGGTCTTCTAGAACAGTTGCCGGTTTGCTCTCAGAATGTCACATCACAGGAACGTGAAGCAAACCGCACAGTGATATTCTTTAGTATGGCAAGATAAACACAGTCACTAATCACAGAGTTGATCTTCTTATCGCATCTTGTCCTTAAAAAAACATTTGACGAGAAATGGCTGAAAATCCCCAGCATGGTGACTTTCCAAAAGCAACGTTCAGTGTGTAATGTGATGGAAAAAAACACATAAAAACACATTTGTGAGGACACACAGACACGGAAACACATACATGCAGCTGGCAAAGGGAAACAGTCGAGTGTTCTTCAGTGACCTCCTTCATCCCAGGAACAGTCATTCTTTTGCTTGGCCAACTTTCTGACTACACGCTCTAGCTCCTTACGGGACTTCTGTTCCTCGTCCAGACATTGCTTCATCCGTTTATTCTCCTACATTCACGAACACATGGCATCAGAAGATTACAGCATAATGCCTGTGATAGCTCAGGCCAACACGAGGTTCCAATAACGTAAAATCTTACCTTTTTTAATTCATGGACTTCATCTTTTAGAGCATAAACAGCATCAACAAGACTTCTGCAAAGCAATAAAATAAAAACATTCTTTAAAATATTCAAAAGGAAAACAGAACATTTCAAGTTGCAACTGTTAAAGGGTTAGTTCACCCAAAAATGAAAATTAGCCCATAAATTACTCACCCTAAAGTCATCCTAGGTGTATATGACTTTCTTCTTTCAGACAAATCCAGTCGGAGTTATATTAAAAATTGTCTTTGATCTTTCAAGCTGTTTAATGCCACTCAGCGGGTGTTGCATGCATCAGTCCAAAAGAAGTTAAATAAAAAGCGCCCATCCATAAAAAGTGTCTCACACGGCTCCGGGGGTGAACAAAGGCCTCCTGTAGTGAATCGAAGCGTTTTTGTAAGAAAAATATCCATATTCAAAACGTAATAATCACTTTAATGTAGCTTGCGCCAACAGTCCTACACGAAAGCAGCTCCGGGCGGTTCTATTAGTTACAAATTACTTAATGAAAAAAAGTATTCGGTAATGTTATCCAAGCACCACAATATGAAAGTAATGTAATCTGATTACATTTGGATTCCTTCAAGGTCACATATGTAAATAAAGTCAAGTAAAAGTAATATACTCAAAGATACTTATTTTACTATGGATATGATGCAAATTATAAACTATTTGATGCGCAATATAAAATATTTAAGAAAAGAACGCAAATTAGCATTTTTTTCTCAAGCAAATATAATAAGAACAGATACACAGAGTGCTTGCTCCATATGGTCATCGAACATTCTGCTTCGACATGGTGCTAGTACATGTCCATCTCGCTTCGCTAAATGATTTATTTTATTTCAAAGGTCCTTATACAACAGTAAAATAACCAAAACCCTCAACGACAATGACCAAGCAAACAAATATATTAAACAATAGGATTAAAATGACAAATTATTTCCCTGTTTTTGACACAAAATTATATTTTCTTATGTACAGAAAGCACATTCTCTCTTTCCCCGCTCTCTTTCTCAAATGCACACACATGCAAGACCGACACGCATTCGCGCACAGAAACATTCATGCGCACAGAAACAAGTTGTCAGTGCTGCTCTGATGATTTTATCAGTAAAATAGTTGAGATGTTATAGGCTACATGATGTAATATGTGATGTAATAACGTTGCAGTTATTGAAGCAGATGAATTTACAATTTCGCTATTAGTAGAGACGCTGCTGCCGAACACTGTTGAGAGACAGACTCGGGTAATTCACACTTTCTTAATCAATCTCTCTCTCTAATTAATTACTGCATTAATAACTGCATTATTCTGACTCCCTCCCTCTTTCTCTCTCATAACTGCATTAATAACTGCATTATTCTGACTCCCTCTCTCTCTCTCATAACTGCATTAATAACTGCATTAGTCTGACACTTCACATCGTGGCCGCATCACCACCTTGGATCATTGTTTTCTAATAATTCAATGGCCTGTCTTCAATTATTCATTACTTAAATGAAACCTTTGTAACCCTGATAGTTTTCCCATTTTGTACAAAAGGTATCTGTAATCTGATTACCTTGTTTTTTTATGCAATTATATAAAAAATAAGAGAAACCAGTGTTTTGCATTCTGATTACGGAACGCCATTACATGTATTCCGTTACCCCATAACCATGTTTCCAAGTCACTAATCCAAAAAGAAAAAAAAATGCAATAAATACTAACGATTGTGCACTAATTCTAGGTCACTACTATAAAATTAAAAAGACGAAATATTTACAATTCTGCACTATTTCTAGGTCACTAATCCAAAAAAGGAAGAAATATTTACAATTCTGCACTATTTCTATGTTACTAATACAACAAACTACAATATAAGCATTTTTCTTAAATGGACTCAATGCTAAAAATCAAGTAATTCTGATATCAGATAACTGAACATACTTTTCCTCAATGATCGTCTGGCCATTGCTCTTGATCTCCTCAACAATAATCTTCTCTTCTTCTGGAAGCAGGACCTGGGGGATGCACTCCTTACGAACAGCTGTGCAAACAAAATCAAATCTTCTAATGAAATCACACTGTTAAACTGTAACAATACATTTCCGTTATTAAAAATTCAGTAGCTTAGTTATACAGTACATGTGACAGGCAGGTCTACCTGTGGTGGATTGGTGGAGACTGGCTCCGGTGCAGTAGGCCTCAATCACTTTGAGTATCTGTGCATCCTCCTCCAGAGCTGCTGTGCCTGCATGTGACAATAAATTGATGGATCGTCACTGTGAAAATTTGATTTCTATGTATCTGTATTTCTTTTTGATTGTACGTTAAATACATGTTGGCAAAGCTACTGTTTGTTTGTTCTCAAACCCCCGCAATTCTACCACTACGGGGACTTTTTTTTTGTTGCAAGATCTTAGTTCTGGGAACTAAATTAATTTTATTTAGCGTTTTTATATACTTACTTTTTCTGAGCAGGAACTCATCATCTGAATGTTTTCTCTCCGTTTTTCTTTTTGGAAGGAACTTGGGTCTGGGTCTGGGGCTTTTACTAGAGTCCTGAGGAAACAATCTGGTGTTAATGAAGTAACAGCATCTGCTGAGCTCTGAATAAAACCACAAAACCGCAACTAGAGGACCTTAATTTACGCTCAAATCTCGAGCGAGGATGCTAAGAAATGAGGCCAATAAACGGTAGCTTACATAAGTTATGACGCCATTCATAATTTAACAGCAAATTATCAGGGACTCATGAATGAAAACAATTTGCAGATGAGAGACCCTTGTCTGTTTGTGAACTAATTATTTCAGTCTGAGTCATTTGTTGACTGTTACAGCAGTGTCACAGGGCTGCCGCCACCTTTTTTCTTGAATGCTAACACCGCGGAGTGAGTCATCTAAATTGGACTCCTCCAGAACGAAAGCTTTATTAAATCAAGTTATTTTGACCATCTACATTGAATCGTTTAAATGACAGACTAACCATGGCAAAAATTAAATGTGTTATGTGGGCAGCTTTATTAAATAAGAGTTAAACACTTTAGTTAGGAATGTCTTGATGAATATTTAAGGGTTTAAAACATTCTGTCACTGACAACCAGTCAGTTCAATCACAGTTTTAGTGAGAATGCGTAAAGCAGTAGTAAAAAAAGTATACATTTTATTGAACGTTGATTGACCAAGACTGTATTGTTTTTTAATTATGAAATACACACATATACACTTGGCATGCTTTAGGCTAAATGGGGTTTTCAGTTTTTATGTTTTACTCATGACATCAAACCGAAAGTAAATGGTGGAAATACCTGAAGTTAAGCATGCACATGTTCACAGTTTACAGAAACGTTTATCACTAATGAATTGCTCATTCATGAAATGAATGTATAACATAATTTGAATCAACACGAAAAGAGAAAGTGGCAAATATTAGCACATTGATTTACAGCACGACATTGTGGCCCTGAGATATGAAAAACAATGAATGATGTCTTGGTCTCTCTAACAATTCTCCAGGTTCGTAAAGACAAACATTTAGCCTGGAAAATGACGTGAAAACTAGCGGAAAGACCTGGCTTATGAGAAGACCTCTTAGTTTTTAAACAAAAATGTGCCATTATGCTATGCGGTAGTTGTTGCTCAGAATACCGGGAACATAAAACGGAGAATCATGCAGCATGATTGGAAAATAATATTCCTTCTTATGGTGACGTAAGCAGAGTCACCTCACCCTAACCAGGCATTATGAGTCATTTTGCCATTTCTATGAACAGCTACTTGGCAGATACTGATTCTTTTGATCATCTAAATGTAGACACAACATTTAACATGTTCATTGCGCAGGTATAAGATTATTTTCTGAACTATGCAAATATAAGATGTGATATCTGGATTTTGAGATGTGATATCAGCTGTGAAAAAGTGTTTCTTGAATGGCCATATTTGTTGGAAGCAATAAAATGTATAGGCTTGGGTACATTTTTGATTGACATGGTAAAAGTGATGTTTTCTAACACTTCAGTAACTGTGGCAACAGCTCCCATTCAGAATCTCTTGAGACAGTCTGCAAGACAATTCACTATCCCAGTTATTTATTTTATATCGCTGGAACACTGCCGCAGGTTATTAAGACTATTGCCGAATATAGAACCAATTATTGCTGTTATGTTTTTCCAATACGAAGAAATCTCTACCTAATGCTCATGATATCTTCAAGTGATTTATATCTAATCACAAATTTAGTTAGAAACTAAAATGGGAAATATATCTTCCTCATAATATAGTTCATACAAGGGCCACATTCTCAACATCTCAAAAAAACCTTGTATGTGTTTTCTATGATACAATTTCAAACATTATGGTACAAAAGTTACTTAGTACATTGTCATTATTGAAGAGATGGCTACATTTACCATTTTCTATTGTTTTCTATAAAACACTATTATTAGTAGCATTTATGGGTGCAAATTTAAAACAAATTTAATACAATTATTTTAAAAAAGCATCTAATCATACTTGCTGTCTTACATAATGAAAACTCTTGCTACCATCAGAGCAACTGAAGCGTCAAGTACCACCAAATGGAAAGCAGGTTTTTGCAAGTCTGCTACCACACTTGTCGAGAGCAAGCAGCATGAAATGAGTAAAGAGCCGTCTGCAGGAGAACCGTTCTTGCATTTTGAAACAGCTGGACAGAATGTAGGAATGAAACATAATCCAGGGCTTTTGAGGCACATTTTTAACAGCTTTTAAAATGAATCTTGTGAAATGAAAAGTGGTTGAAATGGCAAGGAAGCAGAAGAAGGAACCACCAAAGATGTATATATATCTAGAGAATGTTTACTCAGATCAATAATTAAAAAAATAGCATGTAATGGAAATAAAACAAGCAATATATTGACTTCTAAAGCCAATTTAGCCTATTCAGTGCTTTGTCTGCCACAGTAATGTAATATTACTTGGGGATTTCTCAACAAATTTTTATACAAGTGATTAATTTGATTAATTGCTCACATTTAATGCAATTTATTTGTTTTGACTGAATTTGATCAAATTGAAGCTCAACATTTCTATATACTGCATGCATATGTACACTTTTGTTTTTTTGGTTGGATAAGTATCACAACATCTTTGTAAGTATCACAGCAGTTTTTTTCATGCAGGAAAAGGGTTGGTTGGGTTTGTGGGTATATTGATTAAAGACGATGAGCTTTGAAGGTTGAGAAGCAGGATATGATTCAGTACACATTGTTTACTGCCTGCCAAAATTTTGCTATTGTATCTGAACTCCCTTTCTATTAATAAATGAATACAACATAGCAAAGATCAAAAATTACAAATAAATGCATCTTAAGTAAAGATCACTGCAGCGGGAGTAGAAGATACAACTGCAAACTACACCGGAAATGGGCGGCTCTCCACAGAATTAAAGAGAAAAAGACAGATAAGCATGGATCCAGCGTGCAACACCGGTGCTAGCCAAGCACACAGACACGGACACACACACACACACACACACACACACACACACACACACACACACACACACACACGTACTCACACAAAACACACAGACACACATCTACTCTTACCTTCAGGATATAAGACATCCTCTAAAGAAGCAGAAAATGGAGAGAGAATGAAGAGGTGTATGAGAATAAAAGAACAGCCTGACAGGAATATGATGGAAAGATCTGTGAGAGGTGAACATTAATTGTTGCAGAGAAACAGAAAATTTCACATGCATTTCATGATCATCACTAACACCCTTGGTAAAATCTTGTAGAGAGGCCATGCACATTAATAAGATGTTCGAGTGGGCTTTGGGTAGAGTTAGCTAATCTGCAGCTCAAAGACCACTAAACATTCCACTTAAATCTGAGATAACAACACCTCCACCGCAGCTTGTGGTGAAGAGGATGAAGGAGGCTGCTGGCTGAAAAACTTTACAGTCAGAGTAGCTCTGTGTGCATCGGTTTCCTGTTAGGACCACCAAGAATACACAGAGGTAAATTACGCTCCCACTCAAGATTCCTTATGACTGTTTTCCAGAAAGTGTACCTCTTTATAACCTAGCGCAGCGGAGGGCTTGAGGGGAGGCGCTGGTCTCAGACAGCTTAAGGACCATGGCTTGGTGATCTTGGGGGGTTCGAGAGGGCCTCGGTTAGCCACAGCAGTACCGAAACTGTGCAAGTGGTGGGACGACGTGCCAGCCATGGTTGTAAGCTTAGCCTCAACACTCTGCTCATGCAAAATACACAAGAAAATAATGATTCACCTGTAGACGGTCATCATACTGAGAAATAAGGTGCAAAAAAAGAGAGAAAGTGTTACCTTCAATGTTGTTCCGACTGGACTTCCTTCCTTGGTGTAAGCATGAAGATGTTCTAACCACTCCAGCTGCTCCTGTGCACTACTACAGAACACCATGGTGCGATCTATTGTCCCTCCTAAAAACACAATCAAAACATGGTCAGCAAAATGGAAGATACAACAATACTGCAACTGTTCAAGCATGTGCATCCTAACATTAGATTAAGTTTTATTTTGACATTTTTTAAATAAACAAAACCACAACCACAACAACATCAAAATACAGAATTAAACGGATAGTTCACCCAAAAAGAGAAATTCTGTCATTTACTCATCCTCGTGTGGTTCAAAAACTATGCTGTCACATGGAACACAAAAGAAAAAAATTGGTAGAATTCTCAAGCTGCCATTTTTCCATAGCAGACATGCCTGTTAAAGGGGTCCTATTATGCTTTTTCAACTTTAGTTAGTCTGTAATGTTGCTGTTTGAGCATAAAAAAGATCTGCAAAGTTACAAAGTTCAAAGTCCACTTCAAAAGGAGATATTTTATTTAACAGAAATCGCGTTTCAAAAACGACAACGAATGACTCGTTTGGACTACAACGCATATTTTCCGGGATTTGTGATATCACAAATATCGATGAATGAGACCTGGTTGAGCTGCACTAGAGAAGGCAACTAGTGTTATCACTATGTCGGAGACACGTTAGCTTTGAGTGGTTATAAATCATGCTCAAATTGATTTGATTTTGACGCAATATTTACACTGAAGCTGGCAGGCGGCTATGGTAAGGGGCATGACATTTCCCGACCAGGCACCGAGTGGTGCCAATCACAACACACTGGCCCAGCTATACTGTTTTCCTAAATAATGCTGTTCAGTTGCTTTGACACAATCTGTATTGTTAAAAGCGCTATATAAATAAAGGTGACTTGACTTGACTAATCCATGCTTTATAATGGGAGTGGATGGTAGTCCAAAATTTGAAGTAAAAACATATTGCACCCATCCATTATAAAAGAAGTCCACACGGCTCTGGGGGGTTAATAAAGGACTTCTGAAGCGACGCGATGCGTTTGTGTAAGAAAAATATCTATATTTACAACTTTATAAACCTTACTCTCTAGCCTCCGCTAATTGTTGTACGTGCGTTCACGAGAGAGTGGAGTCTAGCGGATGACGAATCACCAAAGCTGATTTTCAGTATCAGTACTCCAGCCTTCAGTGTCACATGATCCTTCAGAAATCATAATATGCTGATTTGCTGCTCAAGAAAAATTTCTTCTTATTATCAATGTTGAAAACAGTTGTACAGCTTAATATCTCTGAGGAAACTGGGATACGTTTTTCAGGATTCTTCAGTAAATATAAAGCTGAAAATAACAGCATTTAATTGAAATAGAAATCTTTTGTAACGTTATAAATGTCTTTACAGTCACATTTTATTAATTTAATGCATCCTTGCTGAAGAAGTATCCCCCCCCCCCCCCCCCCCAAAAAAAAAACAACAACTTTTGAGCTGTAGTATAAATAATTAATTATTAACTGATAATATTCCCCTAATTCACTCAATAACTGCTGCAACCAGATCAACAAGTCAGTAAGCTTTGGAACAGAATCACTGAATGAACCTTTTAGAACATAGTCTAAAAATAGAGTGTCTAGTCTAGTAAATAGAGTGATTCGGTCAGTTTCTAACAAAGAGCTATCAAATGGCTTCAGAAGACTTGGAATATAGCCCACAAGTCACTTTGACTATTATAGTGCTTTATTTGGTCCTTTCTGGATCTTAGCAGATGTGGTCTTTATGAGCTGTATGTAAAATATTTGCATTAAAAAACTTCTCCAAAATTCCTTGCTTTGTGTTCCACAGGGTAAAAGGATGACAGTGAGAAAGAAAGTGAGCAAATTGTGACAATTTTCATTTTTGAGTGAACTATCCCTTTAATAAATCACACACACACACACACACATGCTCTCCACTTGTTAGGTTAAACTCCACTGCTGCCTGCTGCTATAAAAACAGCTCAGGTACTAGCAGCATAGAAAAAAAAGCAGCATTAATGACAAGGTCAAGTGTACATTGTTCTGTGACCTCTCAAAAAACATGCCTCACTAAAACTGTTTACATGGACTGAAACAAACCTGTGATCTCAAAAGCATAATGGCCTGTCTCTGCATCCTCTGGCTGTTTGGTTACAGTGGTTCCAGTCAGTGGAAGACGTCCCTATGAAACGAGAGTGAGACACAAATGAGAGCACTGAAGTTGACACTTTTTCATAAATAACACATGCTCATTGTCATGCACCCAGTAAAACAAAAGGAAAAAAAGAAATGAGCTCACCTGGTAAATGAAACCACTCATTCTTGGGCTGGCAGACAGCATGACTACCACATTAGGAAACAGCATGAAGTACCGCTCTTCCTTTTCCTAGAAAAAAAGCACATATGCACATCATATTAAATTCATTACTTCTGCAAAAAATAATATGAAATACCACTACATAAACAATCATGGCACAGATGCAGGTGAATGGCATTACAGCAAACCCTTACAAACACAAACATCAAATGTCTCCACTAACACACGATTTTGGATTGGTGCACAGCTTTACTCTTTGCTACATTGATTACTCATGATCAACACGTATCATACCTTATGTCTAGCAAACCAAGATAAATTTCAGCTAAGCAAAACAGTGAAAGAGAAAGGGAATACATTGAACAGAAATGGCGGGAAATCACTCAGAATTAATGTAACAATATAATTCTTTCATCAACCTACTAATTTTCCTTAGCTAACCCCCTTCTGATATTATTAGTGGCTCTATCAGCCCCTCACACAGCACTGTTTCCATTAACCAGACCATCAGATTCAAAGGGGGCTGAGGTTCGAGTTAAAAACGCATTCAGTGACCACAGATGCAAAACTTTGCAGGGGGGTTTGAGCTGTTGACACTTAAACATTTTCCATTGGTTAGCTAAAACAAGTCACAAAAAACAAACAGAAAAATGAGTCTGTGCTTCTGGCCGTTATGTTTAAAACGCCCTGATCAGTACTTTTACACAAAACTTAGTTTTGCACTACATTTCAATTAATATTGATTAAAATAATCACTTCATAGATTATTTTGACACTGTGCTAATATCTAACATGCATTTTGCACAAAATAAACAGTGATATAACCACGCAGATGTGAAAACAACATGTCAGGTCGAGTTTAGTTGCCACACTGTTATTTCCTGGTTCTCACCTCATTTGAGCTGCTCTGGATGTGGACCTGTGACATGTAGACCACCTGACCCAGCGACTTCATGCTGTCGCCCTCCCAGCCCCGCACTGGCTCCGACAAGATCTGCAACTCCAAGTTCTTTCTTTTTCGCAGATCTTGACACTGAGTCTGAAATACACAAACAAATCAATTCAGTGAAACAAGAATTAGACATTAATGTGTTAATATGCATTTCATAGTATGAGTCAGTGTAAAGACAAACCAATGACACATAATGATTCGAAACAATATTGTTTTACAGTCAAGTATTAAGATTCATACCAAGTCTAAAAAGGGTTAGCAGCTGTGATTATACATTTAGAAAATGTTCTTAATTCTCTGAAAAATGTCCCATTATCTGAATGAATTGTTGGACATTCAGAATGCATACACACACAACATTTTTAAAAGTTTGAGGTTAGTATGATTTTTTGTTTTTGAAAGTCTCATATTTATTTGATCAAAAAATACAGCAATACAGAAGAAAATAAAATCGTAAAATTATCAAATATTATTGCAATTTAAAATGACTTTTTTCTATTTTAATGTTTTAAATTGTAATTTATTCCTGTGATGCAAAGCTGAATTTTTTTAGCATCATTACTCCAGTCTTCAATGTCACTTGATTCTTCAGAAATCATTCTAATATACTGTTTTCTGTTCAAGAAACATTTCTTAGACTTTTTTTTTTTTTTCGAAATTCGAATGTCAAATGATCGTATCGTTAAAATAGGCATATTCAAAAACAGAATGTTTTTTTTCTAACACACAATAACCTGGAACATGAAACGGTCCTTTCGGAGTGGGAGGTCACTTCTCCATATTTCCAGGCATTACATTCATGTTCCTAACTGATGCTTACTTATCAAAGTGATTTACAATAAAGTGCGCAAATCATCTCATCTGCAAATACCAATATAGGTAACTGAAAAAAAAAAGCATAGGTAAAGGGGGAAGACCAAGTCTACATGACACCTCCACTAGTGATATCTAAACTATGAAGATGGGACTCTCCCTTACCTGTCAGAAAAAAGAAAAAGAACAAATGAAACTGTTCCACAGAACACGAACTCTAATAATATTTCACAATATGAATGTTTGTAATGCATTTTTGATCAGATAAATGCAGCCTTTGTGAGCGTAAGTCTTCTTTTTTCCAACCCCAAACTGTAGCATAAATAAATGCACACTAAAACGTATTTTGAATACGTGCGCTTTAAAACGTATGACTTGGTATAATATTAAAAAAATTATAACAATAATAAAAACTCTGAGGCAAAATGTTAACAATGCTTTCTCATATAACCATAACAATGGCAAGTGTTTTGGGGAAGGTGACAGAACGGGTGTGAAGAGAATACTAGATGCTGAAATGTGATAAACTAAAGTTAGACTAAAGATGAATCATCGAACACATCATGCCTTGAATACACAATCAAGCAATGGAAAAATGCTGCAACAATTCTGCAGAGTGATATGCAAAGTGAGCAAACACAATCAAAAATGTGTCTTCTGCCTCCATCAGCACAACCACAGCTATAGATATCCTGTTGGGTTAGTGCTGTTTCCTGTGTGTATGAGGCATGCCTTTTCACTCTCTCCTTCTGTCGTGGAGCATTCTGAGGTGGAAGGAGAAAACTAACAGAAACCCTGATGTAGTTCATCATACAGGAAGTGTGTAAAATGTGGCTCAGACATTTATGAATACCTGTGAAGTTTACTAGTACAAACCAAAGAAAAAAAAACCTTAAAATGGAAATAGGGCAGCAGTGTTATATGTAAAGGCAAAAGGGAGATTTGCTTGTTTAGTCACTCAGCTCAGTAAGACATAAGAGAATGAAAGCTTTGTAGTGACACCTGGTGGTTCAACTTTATATAAAAAAAAGCTAAGACACTAGTGACACACAAACATTTTTTTTGTGTCACTAGTGTCAAACAAACAGAGAAATGTTTTGTAAGCTTAACAGAGCTACAGTATTGACAAACTTTGGGACTTATATACTGTATGTGAGATTAAATTGGAATATATGTGGATATTAACTGGAACTAGGGGTGTGCGATATTGACAAAAAATTATATCTCGATATTTTATGGGATTTTATCGATAACGATAATTAGACGATATTTTGCTGAGTGTGTTATTGTGCTGGTACCTTAAGGACTGCCGAAGACAGCTGACTCCTAATGTTTTTAATATTCTTCATATTCTGGGTGGTAGTCAGTTCATACTGATAGAAATTAATCTTTTCCAATAAGTTGAAACTTATTTTTACATTTTATGGGCATTTTTACCTTTTATAAAGCCATTTTTCTAAAAGTGTCCATTATCTTTTGAGTCAAATTCTTACATTTAATCAGTGAATTAGAATAATAAGACGTTTGGGCTGTTACCAAGCAAATTAAATCAAATAATTTAAACGGTTGATTCATTGTTGCTCAGAGACACAAAACAGCACTGTGGCTGTATTCGGAATGATTTTTGTTGGCGAAATAGAGCCAAAACAAAAACGTAAGTCTCTTAATTAACTTATTGTTTATTGAATTCAATGTCACATTTGTAATCATGGTAATTTTTGGAGAAAAACGGCACTCTTCATATGAAATTGAATAACTATATGAAGTGGTATAAATATATACATTTTTTGCCATCATGTCTTGAATTTGTGATCATTCTAAACGCATTTTAATAGACTGAATCATGCAGTGAAAGAAAACACACTGAATGCGCACACGCACTAGTCTAGACTCAGTAGGGATGTTTTGAATGGTTTTTGCAAAATACTCGATAATGTCAAATCGCACATCGTTAAAACAACAATTACGATATTATCGCACACCCCTAACTGGAACTGACTGGAGACAAAATATTTTGTGCCAATTTATGCATCTCAATAATTTTTTTGCCCAGAAACCACTCTTTTGCATGCCTCCTCATGAACTATGTAGAGATGTGCTCAGAATCTATTGATGTATTACTGTTCTCTGCAGCTCTCACACAAATTCTTTAGTTTGTAACATGCTTTTTACAAAACTAAATGACACTAAGAAGAGTTTTACAACGTATCATTTTAACCCTTAATATTCAAAATAATGTGTCAAATTATGGTAACACTTTACAGTAAGATTTGACTTGTTAATATTAGGTAACTACTATACATTAGCAATAGTTAACATAAACTAACAATGAAAAATACTTCTAAAGCATTTGTGACCCTGCCCCACAAAACCAGTTATAAGGGTCAATTTTTTGAAATTGAGATTTATACATTATCTGAATGTATACATTATTTGGGCAAGATGCAACTATTTGAAAATCTGAGGGTGCAAAAAAAAAAATCTAAATACTGAGAAAATTGCCTTTAAAGTTGTCCAAATGAAATTCTTAGCAATGCATATTACTAATCAAAAATGAAGTTTTGATATATTTACGGTAAGAAATTTACACAATATCTTAATGGAACACGATCTTTACTTAATATCCTAATGATTTTTGGCATAAATAAAAATAGATCATTTTGACCCATACAATGTATTTTTGGCTATTGCTACAAATATACCCCAGCGACTTAAGACTGGTTTTGTGGTCCAGGGTCACATTTATTAACTTAGTTATTGTTAATTTCAAAATGTATCCATACATAATTAAAATCAAAAGCTATCTGTTAATATTGTTTAAGGGACCTGAGCTAATCTGAACTAACAATGAACAGCCGTATTTTATGACCTAATGTTAACAAGGAAAAAATACTGATACAAATGTATTGTTCATTGATAATATTAGCTACTGCATTAACCAATGTTAATTAATGGAACCTTACTGTAAATTGCTACCAATATTAATTTGAATAGTTAATCAATGCACATACCCACACATAAAATATGTTAAATGGAAGCTCAACAGTACATGCATGACATGCTTGAGCTTCTGTTTACCATATTTTATATGCTCTATTTGATATGTGTTGATCAGTGTTTATATGTAAATTATATGTGGTCTTCATAAGACTTGAATTAAACGGCTTGATTCATTTGGATCACTTTAACAGTGCATTTTTTGTACTTTTTGTGGAACAAACTTTCGATAAATATTTGTTTCATGAAAAATATCTTCATTTGTGTTCTGGATGATTCACAAAAGTCAAGAACATGTCGATGACAATTTTGTGAACACTGACCTGTGATCAGTCAGCACACAGACTGCAGAAGGATGGCTGGAGCAGTAGGACAAGTACAGTGTTCTGATCTGACACATCAAGTTCAGGTAACAGCCGCCAATCCGCTGCTGGCCCTCTGACATCCTGCAAGACAAAAACACACAGATCAGCCCTGATACATTATCGGACTAAAAATATTTTTATTTTTAATTTAATGTCAAATAACCAGTGTTGGGGAGTGACTAGTTACATATAAAAGTGTTATATAATTCAATTACAAAATAAATGTAACGGTAGTCTGTTACAGTCACTGAGAAAAAATGTGTAATTAAATTAGTTACTTATGAAAATGTTAATTATTACAAAGGGGGTTACATTTGAATATTTTCACACACACGCTCATGCATTGACACCAATGTTTCAGCTGTTTAGGACACGGAATAGGACACATGCTTATTTGATAACTGCTTTTTCTTCCAATTTGGGTTTATGTAGCAGTGCCACAAACTGATCACCTCCATGCCACGCCGAATTGAGGCAGTAATTAACGCAAAAGGAGCCCCTACCAAGTATTGAGTACATGTACAGTAAATGAACATACTTTTCCAGAAGACCAACAATTCACTAAAAATGTTTTTTTATTGGTCTTATGAAGGATTCTAATTTGTTGAGATAGTGAATTGGTGGGTTTTTGTTAAATGTGAGCCAAAATCATCACAATTAAAAGAACCAAAGACTTAAACTACTTCAGTCTGTGTGCATTGAATTTATTTAATACACGAGTTTCACAATTTGCTTTATTTTTTAAGATTAACAGTTTTTTCCCAAGGCATTAGGCGCGTTTCCATTACAGATTTGCACAAAACTTTGGCGATATTTTCTGAATGTCGATAAAAAATATTGCGAAATGACGGCGTTTCCATTAACCAACGTTATGCGGCTAAAACGGAACCTTTTGCCTCTCGCGATAAGTCATGGCAACGGATTTTGACAGATTTTGGCTATATTTATTCAAAGGAGGTTTATGCGTGTATTTTTACAGAAGCAGCAAAGAGAGCTGCTTCAGAAACGTGCCTGGCGCGGCTGGAATAAACCATAGACTGTATAAAAACATAAACACAAGCATTGAGTGGCCGTATCAGAGCCACACTGCACACGTCTGCGCACACTGCACACTGCACACTAATTGTCCAAGTATTAATAGTAGGGAAAGCCCCTTATACTGGAGCGCGGCCACTTATGAAGTGTTTCTTGGAGGTTATAGTACATTGAAGAATGATCATATGACTTTTTACATATGCCATGTGACCTGTAAATGCGAAAAAGCTGTTTCCATTGCAGTTTTGCGAATTAATCCTTTTTCGCATTGCCTGAAAAACCACCTCATGCGAGCGTAAAAAACTTTTTTGCGATATATGGGCGTTTTTGCGAAATTGACGCATTTCCATTAGGCGTATTTTCAATTCGCAATTTCAATTTGCGCAATTTGAAGGGTAATGGAAACGCGCCTATTGTTCGATGCCAGTGTTTCCTGTCATTGTTATTTGAACAGTATCAAAGATATTAAACTATTTCTTGTTATGATTTTAAATCTTTATTTAATCTCAGAATGATCTGAAAGTAAAAAGAGGTGCCAAAGTCTGATTTTGTGGTGTCTGTGCTCTAAAATTGAATCATTATAATCATAATTCAAGCGATGAACAATTTTGAAAGTCTGACAGTAATCAGTGTTGAGTACTACTGTAAGGTTAACCCTGTCTGGTTTAGATGTTTGGAAATGATTAACAGTTGAAAACATTCGTTAGAAATGTAGCGAAGTAATAAAAGAGTAATAAAATGTGACCCTGGACCACAAAACCATTCATAAGGGTCAATTTTTTAAATTGAATTTATACATCATCTGAAAGTAAAAAAAAAAAAAAAGTCCATTGATGTATGGTTTGTTAGGATAGGACAATATTTAGCTGAGATACAACTATTTGAAAATCTGGAATCTGAGGGTGAAAACAAATCTAAATATTGCGAAAATCGCCTATAAAGTTGTCCAAATGGAAATTCTTAGCAATACATGCTACTAATCAAAAATTTCAAGTTTTGATATAGTTACGGTAGGAATTTTACAAAATATCTTCATGGAACATGATCTGTAACTAATATCCTAATGATTTTTGGCATAAAAGAAAAATTTATCATTTTGATCCATACAAAGTATTGTTGGCTGTTGCTACAAATATACCTGTGCTACTTAAAGGTGGGGTAAGCGATTTTTCAAAAACGCTTTAGAAAACTGATTCGGGCCGACTAGCAAAACAAACTTGTAGCCAATAAGCAGTAAAGGGGCGTGTCTACTCATGATGTGGAGGAGAGAGCGTTCAGTCCGAGCCGAGCAACAGAAATATAGAGATGGCGGATAAAAACAAAAGAGGAAAATGTCTGCGGAACAAAATAAGGATTAAGGCAATAAGGCAAGAAGTAGGACCCGTGTAAATATCGGATCAGCTTTCCAGCGCTGGAGAGAACTCAAGGAGCGGAAGGCCTGTGATCGGACGCCGAGGTTGCTTTGTTTCTTCTCGATAGGTTAGTAACACCGTGTCTGCGCCGCAACAGCTAAAGTCTGTCTAGTGCACTGGATGCGACAAAGCGACTGTTGAAAATCATTTGAAATTTGTGTCAATACGTCATGAATAGAACACAGCAGCAGTTTTCTGTCAGGGATTTGTCGTGTTGTGCCGCATCCAGTGTAGACCATAGATATGTATATATATGTATATATATCTATGGTATAGACAGCATCATTGATTATAATGAGTTCCATAGTATTTTGTCGTGCCGCGCCACTCCAGTCCGGTGTAGACACGGTGTAACATTGGTTTTGCTTTGTTTCACAGAACTAATCGTTGCCTGGGTTGCGTACGTATGTGTGGGGTGGAGCTATCAAAATAGGGGCGAGACCCTTTTGGGGTAGGGGCGTGTTTGTTTTGGCGATTTCAAATGTCAACATTGGCTACCAGAAATCGCCTACCTAGAGCAGTCATTCTCAAACTGGGGTACGTGAGATGACGGTGGGGGGTGCGCGAACAAAATTCAGAGTTTTGACATTCATTTAATACCCCAACTTAAAGCAACATTAAAATGACTGACAAGCAAAATGCAGCTTCTAATGTAAAAACAGGAAAATGGGGGTGCCGTAAACGGTCAAATACATGATATCCAATCAGCGTACCTCATTTTTTGAGGTCAAAACTGACTGCATCAACACAAGCAGCATGCATATGATAGGATGCCCGGTGAATATGCAGCTTTAGCAAATCCCGCTGCTGTTCAATGTATCTTTAAAGTAGATCTTCACTTAACAGCATGAAGAGCAAATATTGACACGCACGGTACATTGAGATCAATTTAAATGCTCTTCGATACAGACACACTCTGTGCGTGTTATTGTTTTCATGTTTAAGATACGAGCAAGAATGCAAATTTCCCTGAATATCCAAACGATGGCAAATGTACCATTAATTTTTACAACAGTTCAACAAAAAAGGTAATATTAAGTGAACATTTTACATTTTAAATGTAGCCTACATTTTGAACAGAATAGTCATGTTTGTTCTATTTTGCAACTAAATAATAGTTCCAACGAAATCTGTATCATCTGATGTGCGTCTCCAAGCGTCATACAGCGGTGTTTCGTAAGTGAACGAATCTGCGGCTTTGAACGATTTGGAGAGTCAGTGATTAATAACCCATTCATAACTACAGCATTTTGCTTCGTTACTGAATGAATGACGCGACGCCTGGCTCATTAAGACAGCGACTTGCCGCCACCTATTGGCGGTTTTATTTTTAAATCTACTTTGATTTGCCATAATTTATTGCTTTATTTATTATATTAATAATACACATAATGAAATGTTAAGAATATGGCATAAAACATGAGATACAATTAATAAGGATAGAAAACATTTGCCTCAATAAAGGTAAAAAATGCACCTGTAAATCAATTTAAGGGTGCAAATATTGTCCTTTAATAGAAAAGGTGTGACTGCAGTGTAAGTGGAAGAGAGGGGGTACGCAGAAGAATGCTAATTGCCCCAGGGGGTACGCCACTGTAAAAAGTTTGAGAACCACTGACCTAGAGCGATTAGACTACTTAAGGTTTTGTGGTCCAGGGTCACAAATGTAACCAGTTACATTACTTTAATAAAGTAACGGATTGCATTTTAAATAGGGTAACTTGTAATCTGTAACCTATTACATTTGCAAAGAAACATTCCCAACACTGCAAATATAACCTAGGTCTTAAAATGGTATAGCATAGACATGGACATGTTACAAATATGTGAAAAAGCCACCACCAGATGGCACTGTTATATCAAGGGGTAAGACTTTCACTGAAAAAAAAGAGAATTAAGTAGTCATTTGAGCATATGAAGACACTGAAATGCAGCTCTTACTTGGAGCACTCCTCTAAGGCAAGACACAGTCCCTGTTGGAAAGAAAGGATGTCCTCTAAATTCCCATTCAGACTGGAGCAGTCCGCACTAGACAGCCTGCAGAGAGAGCTGACAGAAGAGTCATTATGCGCATGGGTTTTTATTGACCGGCCCATTTTCCCAAAATGTCAGTGGCTTTGATATCAAAGGCTCCCTGATGCCATGGTAACGTATGAGTTGTCCTCTTACTTGTCGCTGGCCTGTAGAGGGCGCAGGTAACAGCCCAGTACCGTTTGCAGTTCCTTGACAAACTCTTTCTCATGCTCCAAGATGTCTTGCACCACCTGAGAAATACATTTTGAACAGAATAGTCATGTTTGTTCTATTTTGCAACTAAATAATAGTTCCAACGAAATCTGTATCATCTGATGTGCGTCTCCAAGCGTCATACAGCGGTGTTTCGTAAGTGAACGAATCTGCGGCTTTGAACGATTTGGAGAGTCAGTGATTAATAACCCATTCATAACTACAGCATTTTGCTTCGTTACTGAATGAATGACGCGACGCCTGGCTCATTAAGACAGCGACTTGCCGCCACCTATTGGCGGTTTTATTTTTAAATCTACTTTGATTTGCCATAATTTATTGCTTTATTTATTATATTAATAATACACATAATGAAATGTTAAGAATATGGCATAAAACATGAGATACAATTAATAAGGATAGAAAACATTTGCCTCAATAAAGGTAAAAAATGCACCTGTAAATCAATTTAAGGGTGCAAATATTGTCCTTTAATAGAAAAGGTGTGACTGCAGTGTAAGTGGACGAGAGGGGGTACGCAGAAGAATGCTAATTGCCCCAGGGGGTACGCCACTGTAAAAAGTTTGAGAACCACTGACCTAGAGCGATTAGACTACTTAAGGTTTTGTGGTCCAGGGTCACAAATGTAACCAGTTACATTACTTTAATAAAGTAACGGATTGCATTTTAAATAGGGTAACTTGTAATCTGTAACCTATTACATTTGCAAAGAAACATTCCCAACACTGCAAATATAACCTAGGTCTTAAAATGGTATAGCATAGACATGGACATGTTACAAATATGTGAAAAAGCCACCACCAGATGGCACTGTTATATCAAGGGGTAAGACTTTCACTGAAAAAAAAGAGAATTAAGTAGTCATTTGAGCATATGAAGACACTGAAATGCAGCTCTTACTTGGAGCACTCCTCTAAGGCAAGACACAGTCCCTGTTGGAAAGAAAGGATGTCCTCTAAATTCCCATTCAGACTGGAGCAGTCCGCACTAGACAGCCTGCAGAGAGAGCTGACAGAAGAGTCATTATGCGCATGGGTTTTTATTGACCGGCCCATTTTCCCAAAATGTCAGTGGCTTTGATATCAAAGGCTCCCTGATGCCATGGTAACGTATGAGTTGTCCTCTTACTTGTCGCTGGCCTGTAGAGGGCGCAGGTAACAGCCCAGTACCGTTTGCAGTTCCTTGACAAACTCTTTCTCATGCTCCAAGATGTCTTGCACCACCTGAGAAACAAACAAATGACTCAAATAAGAAGTTAAAATTCCTTTACATGTCTATTTTGGAATCTTTAAAAGAACTTACCACATTGTAATAATTTTTAGTCAACTGAGGAATGTCAAGTCCTTTTACCGCTTTCGGAGAAATCGGTTTCTCTGGAGAAAAAAAGAAAGGGAAACCCGTTTAATTTCATTATGTTCACTAGAGCAAAACGTTTCTAACTATGAAAAGATGTAAGACAATATCTTGGACTGCCCACTCACCACATGGCTTGACCTCTCGGACGTAATTGCTAGGGAACCAGCCGGTTTTGCCGTTAAGGGCTCCCTCCCACCATCCACCTTCCTCCTGGCGTGTGACATGGATCAGCTCGCCCTTGCTGAAAGACAGCTCGTCCTCATTGTTCTGCTTGAAATTAAAGCGTGCCTTGACCACCAGCTGCCCTCCACCTCCATTCTCCGACATTTCCTGGACACAACAGCAGCAGGTGAAGAACCTCAGTAGGCAGTATTCGGTCTTACTTTAATGATCATTTTAATGGTGATCACAACAACACTCTTAATTTCTGCATGCCAAACATCTACAACAAAATTGTCATCTATTCACATCTAGAAGTAAATAATTAATGTCTTGAGAAAATACTAAGATCCTGGACAAGCCCCTAATAATGACAACAAGAAGTCTATGGGAAGCTAGTTGTAACATTAAATTATTAGGCCTGGGAAACAAAATGTGTTAATTTTTGTGATTAACATTTGGTGTTTAACATGTTAAACATAATTAACAGCATCTAGTGATTTTATTTATTTATTTATAGTGAAAACGAATGCGCAAAATTAACTTTGAAGTGAAAAATTAACTCTCTCAGCTCTCTTTTTAAACTTCGTATTAACAGAGACAGAAATATAAATATACACAGTTAAATGTCACATTTATTATAATGGGTTTATGTGAATATTACTTGAAATTCTCTTAAATTAAAAGCTGTTAAAATATTTTTAATGTTCTGTAATTTTTAATAAATGATAATTAAAAAACATCGGATAATTTGCAGTTTAAGCCTGCCTTTCAATTATTCTGTAACGTTGAATTTGTATAATTCCATTAAAGAATTATTTAAAATACCACAATAATTTTGAGATTCAATGTGAAAATGTTCATGATTACAAATGTCAATATTAGGGATGATTATTTGTGAGTAATTACAGAAACCTGTAAATGTTATGAGGTTATAACAATAATGTTATAATAGAGAAGTAAATCTGAACAACTAATTAAAATGACTACCGAAAAATATAATGCCGAATGCACTGATAATCTTATTGGGATTACTTGGGTATTAAGTTTAAGAGTAATCTGTGTCATTTCAATTATGTTTTGAAATTAACTGAAAAAAGTAAATTACTTTTAAAGAACTTTACAAATGTTTTGTTGTTATAATAAACCAACTGTTATCAGAATTTACAGCAGTGTATTTATTTCTTACCACAGCTTTTGACTGTCTCCGTAAAGACCTGCTGGACTTTAAGTTGGGAACAGCTTGTGAAGGGGCTGACAGGCTAGGAGCAGAGGCACTGGGCTGTGGACATGATCTATTAGGGGTATCTGGATACAATGAGAAAATAAAAGAGAAGTTTTAAAAATATAGAAAATAAAGCGTATAACTGATAGCATTTCTCACTTACTGAGCGCATATACATTTGTGGGTGGTAACTAGATTATAGGTTTACTGATACAGATATACAGAAAGCCCTGAATAAGGTTTCTGAGGGGTGAGTCTACAGTTCAGTGATTCTGTACTTGTGTACTCTTCATTTCAGTTTAGCATGGCCTGTTACACTTAAGAAATAGATGAATGACATGCATAAAAATATGAAGTAGCATTAGCAAATGTTGCTATCTTTGATTTTTCATACAGTGTGACATTCAAATTACTTCATGCCATATGACTTAATGTCACACCGTATTATGCTGTATGATTTATTGTCACGTCATATTTCACGTCATGATGTACAAATTTGTTTAACCACATCTAACATTAGGGGCATAAGAATTCACACAACTATTAATAAACAACATACACTACTGTTTAAAAGTTTATTGTCAGTTTTTTCAGCAAAGATGCATTAAATTGATCAAAAGTGACAGTAAAGTCATTTATAATGTTACAAAAGATTTCTATTTCAAATAAATACTGTTCTTTTGGAATTTCTATTAATCATAAAATCCTTTTCCACAAAAATATTAAGCAGCACCAACTGTTTAATAAAAATGTATAATAAAAAAAAAAAAAGTATTTCTTGAGCAGCAAATCATTTTAAATTCTAATAGTATTTTACAATATAACTCTCCATACTGTATTTTTGATCAAATAAATGCAGCCTTGGTCAGACTTTTCAATGCAGTGTATGTTGTTTGTAAGGCAAAGCCAGGCAAGTTTATTTATACGGCACATTTAATACACAATGGTAATTCAACGTGCTTTACATAAAAGGAATTAATATCATCATAAAAAAATAATCATGTAAACTTGAAAATGATTGTCACACAAAATTCCATTAGCAAACACTGTGCAAAATTCAGTTCAACTGACTTTTCCAGCTTAAATCATTTGACAAAAAATATAAAAAAATGTGTATAAAACTATTCCTGTTTTACTTTTTACTATGCATTACACCCGGGACATGTAAAATGGTCTGTCAGACCCCTTAAATGTAGTACAGTGTAAAGCCAGGTCACTCTATTATCTTTAAACATCCCAATTAGAGCACTCACTCACTCATTCGTAATTCTGTTGTGTCTGTGAAGTTAAACCACCAATAGACCACAGCTCAATGCACTTGCATATGGGTCACAACAAACAACTGCTGAAAGCAGCCGGACACATCCTCTCCAATGTATGACGACAAGTATCAAAGAGAAGTCAGTCTATAGACATAAAGTACGCTCCAGTCTAACCAAAGCAAGGCCTGAAACCCTAAAACATAGTATTTAGTCACAAAAATTCACAAAAACCAATTTGCATACTCTTGTCAAATCTTAGCAGACTATGATTAGCTTGTATTAATTTGCTATGAGCAATCTGTCATTCATAAATAGAGGGAGATAAGGTATGAGGAGGCATGCAGTATTCAGTGATAGAAGAAAACAGTCAGGTGCCCCGTTTGCTGCACTCTGGGTCCTGACATATCTCCAGCGCTGCAGGGGCCTCTGGGGCTCTTCACTGACTCACACTTCGCTCCATCTACACAATAAAAGCTCAGCATGTCTGCTGGATTTCACGGCAGGCTTTTTCCGAACACCCACGGCGTACAAACAGTGTGTGTGAACCTGCTCCAAGCATTCCTCAGCCAACACAACAGAGAACCCCGATAAGGCCAGGCGAGGGAACGTCTTCGTTTATTTATACGGCACATTTAATACACAATGGTAATTCAACGTGCTTTACATAAAAGGAATTAATATCATCATAAAAAAATAATCATGTAAACTTGAAAATGATTGTCACACAAAATTCCATTAGCAAACACTGTGCAAAATTCAGTTCAACTGACTTTTCCAGCTTAAATCATTTGACAAAAAATATAAAAAAATGTGTATAAAACTATTCCTGTTTTACTTTTTACTATGCATTACACCCGGGACATGTAAAATGGTCTGTCAGACCCCTTAAATGTAGTACAGTGTAAAGCCAGGTCACTCTATTATCTTTAAACATCCCAATTAGAGCACTCACTCACTCATTCGTAATTCTGTTGTGTCTGTGAAGTTAAACCACCAATAGACCACAGCTCAATGCACTTGCATATGGGTCACAACAAACAACTGCTGAAAGCAGCCGGACACATCCTCTCCAATGTATGACGACAAGTATCAAAGAGAAGTCAGTCTATAGACATAAAGTACGCTCCAGTCTAACCAAAGCAAGGCCTGAAACCCTAAAACATAGTATTTAGTCACAAAAATTCACAAAAACCAATTTGCATACTCTTGTCAAATCTTAGCAGACTATGATTAGCTTGTATTAATTTGCTATGAGCAATCTGTCATTCATAAATAGAGGGAGATAAGGTATGAGGAGGCATGCAGTATTCAGTGATAGAAGAAAACAGTCAGGTGCCCCGTTTGCTGCACTCTGGGTCCTGACATATCTCCAGCGCTGCAGGGGCCTCTGGGGCTCTTCACTGACTCACACTTCGCTCCATCTACACAATAAAAGCTCAGCATGTCTGCTGGATTTCACGGCAGGCTTTTTCCGAACACCCACGGCGTACAAACAGTGTGTGTGAACCTGCTCCAAGCATTCCTCAGCCAACACAACAGAGAACCCCGATAAGGCCAGGCGAGGGAACGTCTTCTCTATGCCTTAAGCACACTTCAGATTGAAAACCTCACCGTTTCATTATAGAGATCGTTTTAAGTCAAATCTATCTGCCCCCGCTTAATCTGCACTCATTAGTGAGTCATTCTTAAGAACTAACACATCATTTTAATCTTACTTTAATATAGAGTTTGCAAAGCTATTTGTAAACATTTAAAGTTGGATCAAGAGTAAGCAAGATTCCAGATTAATAATTTATTAATAAATAAGAGAAGTGTTGTTTGGAATGACAAGCAATCCTTGTTGAGAGGTAACTTACTCAAAAATGGAAATTCTTGAAATGTATTCACCATAACATTGATCCAAACATTAATGCCTTTTAGTGTAATACAAATAGTGATTTTTTAAAGAATACCTGAATAATAAGAAATACCTTCTTAATGATAAGACAATAATAATAGATTACAAAAAACACTGCATGACTTTTAATGGGGCCATTGGATGTGACATGCACTTTTACAAGCTGTTTGAACTGAAATGTGTGTTGGCAGTGTGTACACAACCACCCTATAATGATAAAGATCTACCCAGTGTTTTCTTTTTTTATCTCGTTATATCATTTCCCCTTTCTCATATCGAGCCGATCTCAGATGCCTGTCTGTGTGACCCCCCCCACGTTTGTTTGATTGACAGTAGCGTTTTACCTTAGACCCGCACTGAGAAAACTGTTATCAGTCCATTATTGTTTCGATGCCGGAGCAGATGTAGACAAGAATGGCTCCTAAGCGATTGAGGTGTTCTGTTGTTGGATGTAATAATGAACATAGCAGTCGTCATTTACTCCCGACATCTGAGCTGCTGAAGACGCAGTGGATTACATTTGTTTCTGAAGGGAATGCGCCCCTGATCAACCTAAATGCATCTATCTTCGCGCAAATCATTCGTGATCCAGCTTCACCTCCAGAAGAAGTGTGTGTGTAAGGTTTTTTAATGAATCTTTGCAAATCACCTTTCCTAATAACGCACTAGTTAGCAAGTTTCACGATGAATGCGGCTAAAGTTTACCATCTCTCAGAGAGCGGCTTGGAAGAGAGGGGCGGGGCGAGCAGAGCTCATTTGCATTTAAAGTGGCATGCAAGAAAACAGCTTGCTCTAAAAAGAGTTGTTTTTGACGGGGTAAAAACGGTGTTGTTTTACACTACCATTGATAAATTTTAACCAAACTATGTTGCAGACTTTTCATTAAGACCCTAAAGAATCATATCAACTTGTAGAAAATTGGCATCCGATGATCCCTTTAAATACATACAATCTATCATTTAAAATATTTTGACATTTTAATACTTTTATTCAGCAAGTGCCAGTAAAGACATTTATAATGTTACAAAAGATTTCTATTTCAAATTAAAGGGTTAGTTCACCCAAAAATTTAATAAAGGCCTCCTGTAGCGAATCCATGCGTTTTTGTAAGATAAATATCCATATTTCAAACGTAATAAACACATTTCTCTCGCTTCTGCTGACTGTGTATGTGGAATCGTTCCGGCGGATGAACGCTTGCGGAACGTATGCTCGTGCTCGCGCCTCTGAGATATGCTAGTCTCACGAGTTTGTTTACAG